GATAAGATTAATAGACAGATGCAGTCAAAGGTCAGCACATAACGAGTACAGATACAATCTGTGCTCTCTTGAAAATAGGCAGGGCCAGGAATTACAGCCTATAAAAAGCACCTAGCTCTTGAAGCACTGCACTAAGGGGTATTGTCTCACAGCCTCTGCATGTAAGACTGTGTGAAGCCATTGGGACCATCGAATAACTCTCTTCTTCTCTCTGGAGGGATGAAAATCACATCTGAGCACTCTAACTGAATAATTAGAGAATAAGGGGGCTTTACTTCCAAAGTCACCCTTTGCCAGAATCAAGCAGTCTCCTTCCTCATACATTTTCTGCAAAGGAACAATTGCAGAACATCAGAAAGCTCAGTGGAGCATGACCACATCCTGACACTGCATCTTTAGAGTGTCACAATGTCATCCCAATTCAACAGCTGAATGCAAACATTTCTACAAAAGATGGAGGCCATCTGATATATCATTGCTGGCTGCATTTGAAGTCTTTTGCTATCTGTGTCTCTTCCTGCCTTTCTAAAGCAGAAGATTCCAATTGCATGCTACCTGAGCATGTCCAGCATCAGTTCTTTTCTGTCTCTATATGATAGTTTTCTAAAGAATTCTATGGCATGCTCTAAAGCCTATGAGTTTTAATTTGGTTAACTGGGATTGTGAGTAGTTACATTAGACTAGCATCATCTTTCAGATGACTTGGAATTAATGGTCACATTTGCATCCATGACTAAGCCTGTTAAGAAAACTACTGTGCTAGTCCTCTTGCTAGGTACCCAAGGATACCAAGAAGATGGGGGCCTTGACATTGTTTAATGATTGTATTTCTTCATGAAGTCATGATAAGTTCCTAAATCACAAAAAAATTTGGAAGTCATCAGAAGATGTATAATGTTCTTAGCAACCAAAATTACTAGATTAAGATTTTCAGAAAGAATTAGGCATTTTAGGCATACCAGATTTTTTTTTTTTTTCAAGAAGTGCTGCATTTCCCCCACTCTCTCCTCCAGAGAGACCTGTGCTTTGAGTGTAATTTCTTTAAATCTGTATTTTTGGCTACAAAGTAACCAATGTATCTTTAAGAGCAAGGCCTCCTTCTGGTGGTGAATGAGGGGAACGAAGCTGGTAATGAAGCAAGTGGCAACACTGATACTCTGAGCTTGCCGAATCGGTCTGAGATAGGGCTGCCGATTTATTTGCTTGCAGAAAAGAAAGTCTCAGGGGCTGAAATCCTGGCTCTGCTGAATTAGGGGAAATTTTACAATTCACTAGGTTCACTTTCCTTCACTGCATTGCTTTTTTATTCCTCTGTGTTGTTCAGTTATTTTTCTGCTTCTCAATTCTCCATTCAGTTTTGAGCCTATTACCCACTGGGAAAACACTCCATAGTGAGCAGGATTGGAAAGAGAGAGCTGCTATTCAGTCTGAATGCTTGCAGTCTTCTTCAGAACAGGGCATGTTTACTCACCCTTTCAACAACACTTGAAGAGTAAATATCCACTCATTTAACTAGTTGCTCACCCGCTCTTCGACCTGGGGCTGGGAACAGCTTGATAAGAGTGAATGTACATCGAAATAACAAACCTGATAAGCACAGAGGAGTTAGTTATACAGCTGAGCTCCACTAGGAAAATATACAGTTGTGGTAATGGACTGGCAAAACCCTGTGTTCCTCTAGGATTTTTGAGAATCCTTAAAGGTATTCACATTTACATCTGCTGTTAATTACTGCTGGTTTTGTACAGTTTTTCAATGTAAACACCTCTTTAAAAATAAATATATAAATCCCACAGTATTTGTATTTTATTCTGCCCTGGACCACTCAGAAGAAGCTGGTGGTGATGACAGCAAGTGTACCAATTATCATGCTACAGCTACTTGATCACCCAAAGGTAACTGCTCACCAGTTGCAAAAACACAGATAAACTTTGGGGGTCAGCAGCAGTTGAGCCCAGAGTTCAACTAATGAACCCCTCTGAGGATTTGTGCAGTAATAAACAAATAACCTGGATTTTAGAAAGCGGAACTTGCCTGAGTCCTTCTTTGTATGGTTTTAAAGCATTTAAAAATATACAAAACCTCTTAATAGGTAAAGCAAGGGCTCTAGGATGGGTCCACTGATTTCAAACAAATTACTAAACCACAGAATCATAGAATCAGGATGGTTTGGGTTGGTAGTGACCTTAAAGACTATCTAGTTGCAGCCCCTACCCTATCATGGGCAGGGACAGCTTTCACTTGTTCAAAGCCCTGTCCAGCCCAGCCTTGAACACCCCGGGATGGGGCATCCACAACTTCTCTGGGCAACCTGTTTCAGTGCCTCACTGCCCCCACAGTAAATGACTTCTTCCTAATATCTAATCTAAACCTACTTTCTTTCAGTTTAAAGCCATTACTGAAGAAAGCCCTACAAGGTAAGTATGTTGTCAGCTAAACACCAGATTCCCTTAACTGTGTATGTGTTGGGGTTAATTACTATGACAACATTTCTTTTTCTCCTTTAAGCCAATTCAGCTTTGTGCTTTCTTTCTCTTGTTATCTTTCAGAGCATGCTCCTAGAACTATCGTCTATCATGAAAAAGTAATGACATTCTAAGGAGAAGAAATAAACTAAGGGACTGAGCACAAACTGCCTTCAGTAGAGAGATAAAAGCAGATTTTCTGTTGCTATGTTCCTCTCTCCCGCTGCTATAATGCCAAATTCATAATAACACTTTAAAAAAGCAAACATTTTATTCCTCCATTTTACACCAATCCCAACCATACTGTACTCTGACTGTTGGTGGGTAGCTCACTCCACAACTCAAGATTTTTCTCATGTAGACTGAGCTGGACCTGGTCAGTGTGTGCTGCCAATGCAAAAACAGCCTTGTGTCTTCGGGGGAACATTTTGGGATGTACAAGTTGTTGTGCATGCTAGTAGTGTTCATATCAGAAACCAGCCTGATCCACAGACCTTCAAGGCACTTTAAGACCCAAGGCACCCACAAGAAAGGATTAGTTTGATTTGAAAGTAACCTGGAGGCTACTGGCCTCTATCTCCCCAGACTTCAGCAGCCGATGAATAAAAAGATGGAGGAAAGACTCGTGGAATCTGAAGGGACAAAGAATTTAAGAGACAGAAAAAAACAACTGAAGAATATCTGCTGCTCCTCTGCGTGTGCTAATGCAATCCTCAAGCTCTGATAGAGACTTTCCATACTAATGTAGCCATCTCATAGTTAAAGCTTTTGGCTCCAAAATTGAAACTGAGATACCAGGCAACTTATTCTATGTGCAAAACATCCGTACTTTTCAGTTTTCTGTTCAAGAAAATCTGCAAGGTATCACATCGGAGTCATGAAAATCTTATTTGTTTCACTGTCTCATTAGCTCATACAGAAGAACCAAAACACAAGCAAAGCCAAAAAGAGCTCATTTTCAATTTGCTAGGACATCCCAGCTCTGGAAGGTTGGATTTCTGGGTAATACACGAGGAAGCAGCCCAAGAAAGCAGTCCTTTCACTCATGTACCTGGAAAATAAAGCACCTTCTTCTGACTGTCCCTGATCCTGTTTCTGGCCACATACTTTACGCTGCTTTTATTTGTCAAGCTTATCACAGTTCACATTTGCTATCACCTCAGCAGCAAGTGATGCTTGGAACAAACTCATTTGCTATGCAGCTTTCCCAAAGAATAAAAATTCCCTATGATTTGACAACTCTAAGGCAAGGCTAGCAGAAAGCAGGACAGCAGGAAAATAAGTCAAGTATAAAGATTGCAGTGTCGTTTTTTTCTTGTGCACACAATTTACATTCATATTCTGCCTTACTAGAAACTCTTTGACAATTTGCTTGTGCATTTGTTTAGTATTTTAAGGTAAAAAAAAAAATGAAATACTTGAGATAGTGGCTATTAAGTGGCAGTAACAACTGATCAGGGATGGAGAAACAGCTTTGCTAAAGTACATTCTCTACTGCCAGGCTGTATAGATGTGGTGGATACAACATCTTCTGACAGATTTGAGGGGGTGGGAAGCTTTCTTCATATAGGCTCAGTGGGAAGACTCAGAAAACCGAGTTACTCTGGAAAGTAACATGTTTGATTTTCTTCCCTGAGAATTTTCAGACTGAAAAATCACAGGCAACTTTCACTGCTGCAGATGGAGGAGGATGCAGCTTGTATCCCTCAGGTTAGTGGCCTAGGGAATGTGATTTAGGGTTTCCTGTCTGGTGATAAAAAAGCCTCGGGACCTCCCTCTAGCAGCTTGCCCTCCTTCCCACTCCACGGAGCATTATCCCACCGAGTCTGTGGACTGGGGTAGGACAACTGGTCATGCCACTTCCCCCTTGTTGGGTCTCCTCCTGCAAGCCAATGAGCAGGCTCTCAGCTTGGATCCAACACGAGAGGTGGCTGCTATGTGTTCGGAATCCCAAAGAGCAAACATCCTCCACTAGACAGCGCATCCTGCTTGTGGTAATAGCATCTAAGGCTGTTGTCATTTCTTCTTTTCTTTCTGGATTTCCTGCAGTATAAGTGATGCTAATGGTACAAGTTTCCTCTTTTAGAGAAGTACACTACAGATATTTTTCGGCTATATTTTTGTTTCTACAGAAACCTCAGTTTCTCTCAGGTTTTCCTTAAAGGGGAAACAAACCCTAGCCTCTCCCCTCACCTTCCAACACGCACGCTGGCGCTTTAGAAGACCCAAAGATTTATCAGAATTGCCTTAAGTCACGCACTAGGAGAATGGGTATAGATACAGCTTATTTGATCTTCCCAAAACATCTTTGCAATGAAACACCCTGGGCTGTTCCTCCAGATCAAAGGTAACTGGATCCCTGGATCAAAGACTAGCAGTGAATTAACAATGGGATCATGTGAGTAGAGGTCTCTTCATCAATCCAGAGATTCACTAGGCAGTAACAACCACATCCAACCTACCTCCTAAATCTCACCTACAACCTGCATGTTAACTGAGCCCTGCAATATCAATTTCAGAGTCAAGATGAGTCGATTTACAATACATAATGATATGTCTTTATTTCATCAACAGAAATGGTGTCTAGACAAAATTCAGTTAACACTAGCAATTCAAATGAATGAAAAGGGTTGGGTGGTTTAATTTTTTTTGCACAATACTGTATTTACAATGAGTAAATGACATTTTAAATTCATTAGTTCATAGCAATGCTTTCTTCCAAAAAGGTAAAAATTCTTAGTAACAGAGAGTAAGCATCAACAGCCACCTCATTTATTTATACAATAAAAATCACAAGAAACCACAGTCACCTAGAAAAAAAATAAAGACAAGCTTAAGAACTAGTACAATAAAATGATGCATTGAATTAAGTTACATTAATCGCATAGAATTTGTGTAAAAAGTATGTAGAAAAAACACCTGATGTAACCTGTTACAGTCATTGACCAGTTATGAGAGGTACAGAGGGTTATACAGGTAGATATGTGTGAAAACTGTCCATACTGTTTGACCTGGGGAGGAAGAGAAGAGGGGTTGCACCCCCTTGCATACACTGATAAAACCCTGTTTTGAATATGGCCTCTGAAGTTTGTAAGGCATATATAAGAGGTGCACTTGTAACCAACTGGTTCTGGAACAAACTTTTAGGGCATCCCCACCCTTGAAATCAAAGGTGATGCTTGGAACTATGAGTAAACAACCATGCATCAAATATCACCAAAGTGTTTAGTATCATTCCTGCTGGTTTGAGGGATCCAGAGAGCTTCAGGCAGAGCAAGTGGAGTAGTAAGAGCAGGACTGAAACCATGCAGGTTTCTCCTGGGTACATCACAAATGCAGGGTAATGCTGGCCTGGGCAGGGGAAGCCAGTCACAACCCCCAGCACAGGGTAGCTGCTCCCTCCTCTGCCCACATCCCAGAGCGTGGGCTCCTCCGGCTGCAGGGATGAGCCCAGCTGGCAAATGCAGGCCCCACTTGGATCCCTCCAAAACATGGGGGTCGTTTGGGTTCATAGCCTGGGACCATCTCTGCTTCTAAGCAATCAATGAAATCAAACACTGCCAGTTGCCATTTCTATTTTGGGATACTAGTTTCTTTCTGCATGCCCTTAATTAGCCAAAAGGGATCAACAGTGGCACTGCATGAACCACACTGTGACTTTCACCTACAGAAAGGGCTCTGCCCATGGTCACTAAAGTTCATACAAGAACAAGAGTCATCTAACTGGCTTTTTAGCAGTTGTTTGTTGGGGGTAATGACCTTGTAAAAAGATATTTTTAGCATTCCTTCCTGCCAAAGAGCAATTTTCTTTGCAAAAATGGCAACATTATCTGAGTAATACCTTAAAATGCATATCAATATTTGACTTTGATATAAATAATACCTATCTTGGTGGAGTGTAGGAAAATACTGTACACTTAGTCTTTGCAAGTAATGCCATTAAAATTTTGAGAGTAAAGGAAATAATTATTCTACAGACCACCAACAATAGATCTTTTAAATATACACACAGTATTTGAACATATGCATATACACATATATTGTATTCTACAGCATCAGACCTGATGCCTGAGTCATGAAATACTCCAAGGAGTATTATAAATATACATATATGTATTATAAACAGGAAAATACACAAACACACACTCTGACTAGAATTATAGATGTATGTATACATACATACACATATTTTATATATGGATGCAAAATTAACCTGGACTGTGTTGGCAGAGACGAAACTGAAACGAAGTCAAAATCTGTTGTGAGAATTTCTAACAGAAAAGAGAGCAGAAGTTCTTTATGTTAATAGTTTTAGTTTCACCTCACTTCCGATAAAAATAAAACTGCTCTATACTTAGCAGATCCCCTCCTTATGCAAAGTTGCTGCTCACACTGAGCTAAACCTTCTCTAGGCAGCCCTAAAATAGAGACTTTTAAAATGCTGTAGCCATGGGCTACAACATTCACCTGGAGGCACCTTCAAACACATCTCAGATTAGAAAAAAAAAGGTGGAAGCAGCACTCCTTGTTGCAAAGGTAGAGGATGTGAAGTGGAAAAAAATGTGAGCCTGTGGAAACCTGGCAAATGTTCACTTTGTCTCACTGCAAAATTCACTACGGGCCTTCTATTCTTAAAATGCACCCCTTGCTCTCTCTTCACTACCACAGCAGTGTTACAAGACACAAGTGAGGATGTGGTGTTGATTCTGGAATTGCAATGCTTCACCATGCTTTCTTCTAGTGGATCAGTTCTCATTTTATTACAGGATTATAGTGATTCCAGCATGCAGATCTGTATTATTTACTAGGCAATCATAAAGTCGCATATTAAAAAAATTAGCTATATATCTAGGCATTTTAACTTCTATTGAAGCACTCTTTTAGAATACAGACTTGACAAAGTGTCGCACTCCAGATTAACAACCACACTATCATCATTAATAATTTCTCTGGCAGGAGTTAATCCACTTAGCAAAGTTACATATCTAGTTCCCACTCTCCTTTTTAAAGAGAAATAGCAGTTAGCATACTAATCACTGTGGCTTGCCTTTGCAGCACATTTTACTTCCTTGGGAAAAAAAATAGTACAAGGATTAGATCCAAAAATATAGTGCATCTTAAAAGCAGCATATACCCTTAGAAAGATATTTAATAAATTACTTGTAAAATATATAAAATAATAGTTTTATACTGCAGCATCAAACTCTGACGCCTGAGTCATCTCTTTAGGAAGTCTGTGATATAAATACTGGGATCTCCTGATAATACAACCAACATTTTTGCTTTTGTTTTGCTTGTTTTCTGTTTTGTTTTCCCTCTCTTCTTAATTTTTTTAAAATCTTTTCACTACCTTTTTGTTCCAGAATCAGCTTGCAATGAGCTTTAATTGTGTTCAAGGCACCCCTAGAGAACGCAGAGAAACAAACACATTATATAGTGTAGTACTCACCTGACAAAGCATAACAAGCCTAAATGAAATCAGGTTTCCTGGCAATACAAGTATAGCAAGGAAAAGGAGGAAAAGGAGGACTAGATACAGACTGGACAGAGCTTTGAGGACTCGCATGCCCATGAGAGCGGTGCAGTGCTCAGCAGGGAGATGGGGTCCCACCACGCCATTCCCAAGCAATGCCCGACAGGACAGATGCTGCATGTGTCCTCTGACAAATGCAAAGAGATTCCTACTGAAGATCACAGTGACCACTGGCCAAGTTCTTAAAATTCATAAATACTGCAGCCAGGTTTTTTTTCCCTCTTTATAATGATGTTTTGTGGTCAGTTGGTTTGACCTCACGAGACAAGAATGGTTGGGTATGTAAACTGGTGTCCAGGTCTGAAACTAATTCTCCTGATATCTTCCTTTAACATTAGCCCAGTAACTGCTTTGAAAGTCACATGGTATGAAATAGCAAAAAAACTCAAAACAAAATAGAAACAAAAAACAACCACCACCACCAAAAAAACCCCACTGAAAAACAAAAACTCAAAACAAAATAGAAACAAAAAACAACCACCACCACCAAAAAAACCCCACTGAAAAACCATGATACATGTAAATATAGGAAGCAATGACACAAAATCAGCCACTTCTAATGGGAAAGAATGAAATCAAACATCCAGAAAAGCTTGCAGGGGAGGGAAAGAGAGACGAGAGAAAGGTTGAGGAAGAGACACTTATTTGAGCAGTGGTTTTAAATATCAGTTCCCAAGGTAGATGAAATCAAGAGACCCAGCACCAGTATGAGGCCAGGTCAAACCTAAGAGCTGCAGCGCAATGGGTTGTGTGTGTGGGTTTTTTAAACCGTTGGAATGAGGTCAAGAGTACCAGTTGCACATGAGTTGTTAGTAGAGTAAATCTTCATGTCAGGAAGTAAGTTAAAACTTGGTTTTATACTCAGAAAACATTCTATCTATTCATATATATAGGAGGTCACTTAAAAATAAAAAAGGCAACAGAAAAACATCTTTAAAATACTGTGTCAGTTGACCCTTCCCTCCCGCCCACCCCCAGCCCCCCCCAGTAGCTATGACTCTATAATGTGATTCACATTTAGTTTTAAATTCTAGCTTTCACCATGGTCTCATAGAAACAAAACTTCTCTGCGAAGCACAGAACTGCTTTGCAACGTCAACAAATTCAAAGGAAAATCAAATCCTGCCCCCCCGCCAAAGAGCTTCTCAGTCAGTTACCTGCAAAAGATGGCTGGGGGGGGGGTTCAGGTATTTTTAGATTAAGTTCTTTTAAAAAGAAAAGGACAACTCCTCCCCCTTTTTCAACTGTGTGAACTAGGAGTTTATGGCATTTGTATATTTTTTAACATTTAAAGGTAAGGATTTTGTACAGTAAAGATTAATACTTAAACATAAATATTCTCCTACATTATATACTAGTTTTTCTTTGTACATGCGGGGAAAAAAACTATTTTCAACAAACATGGCACATGCTATACGCATTTCCTCCTCAGTAGCTTGGCTACAATAGTTTGGATGAAGAGGATAAAAGCAAGACTTTGTGGCGAGTGGGTGATGGTCCATGAGCACAGTCTGAAGATGGAAGAAGTGGAGAGAGGGAGCTGATTCCTCCTCCGGGGTTCAAGATGCTGATCTACTGAGTGCCTCAAAAAACCACCAGCGCACACCTCTAGTGTAAACGTTAGCACAGAAGACCACATTATCACTTAGTGCTTCTGAGAAGCTGCTTCCCCACACTTTTTTTTTTTTTAACAGGTGTGAACAGCTGGTCATTTTTTTTTCAGCGAGAACAAACAATATCAGCCAGTAAAGCACATGACAGTTGTCACTTGATAAAGCCACGCAACCTGGCACACGTAGGGCAAAGAACCACAAAATAAAAACTCAGTACACTTAGAATAATAATAATAATAATTATTAAAAAAGCATTAGGAGGTTGTTTTTCTGTCTACACTGTACATACAGATGTTATGTTTGGAAAGCTGCTGTCTCAAACAGTCATAACATGAGTCAACATTGCGTAAGATACAAATCCAATACAGTTACAACTAAGCCAATTCACTGAGTAGCCTCTTTTGAGACAGCGCTCTTTTAGCTGCAGTTTGTGCTGAGGGCAATGCTGCAGGACGAGAGGATCCTGAAACACAAGAATTTGATGGGTAAGCAACCAAATCAGGTGTTGGCAAATGTAGGTTTTACTCTTAGAGGATACAGTGCTAGCTGGACTTCTGTAAGGAAACCAAAGTCAACAACTAGGGATCTGATCCTGCAACTCCACCTACCTGGGCAGGATCACTGATTTCACCAGACCCATCTCTGCAACTTGGGTCTGGTGGGGAAAACAGGTAATGTCTGAGGACAGCTGAGGTCAGGCTCTGGGGACTAGCCAGAGCAGCAGTTGCTTCCATGAGTAAAGGATGCAGAGTGGGGCTGGAGAAAAAGCCCCCACATGTATTGATGTGATTTCCGTTCGCTTTACTTCGTGGAACATATGATGAACCGATCCAGTTGTCAAAAACACTTTTCTCTAAAAAGTGAAATATACTTTCCCCTGTAAAACTCCAAAAGCATCATTAACAGCACTTAAACTTGGTTTGTGAAACAGAAAGAAGTCTAAATATAAAAATAATTCAAGCAGATTCTCTTTACAAATTGTATAGTGAATTCAGTATTTGGCAAGACCATTTTTACTACATAATGAGCTCCTGAGTGTTTGTCTATCAGCTAAAAATTTTCTATTTCCTTTAAGCAATAAAGCAAAGAAAACCATATACTCAAGTTATACTGAAGTCATGACTTCATTTATGAAAAGAGGTTTGACCAGAAACTCAGTGCAAGTGGCAAAGTTGACCATTACTGTACAGTATCTGCAAGAAAATAAAATAACTCCACATTGCCCAAGTGGCACAAAATGGCTGTGCCAAAAAAAATTGTCTATAATAATATCTCAAATAAGTTTCCAACATTAAAATTTTATAAATAAGTACAAATTGAATGATATTGCTGAACTGCGAACTGAGAAAAAAATTATCGTGTAACAAGTTACCAAACTAGTTCTAGCATCGAAGACAAAAAGGAATGTTGGAACTTGTTTATACAATAGAAATGAAAGCTTCCAGTTTGTAGGATGAGAAAAATTGAGGCATGCAGGGATTCTTGCATATGGATATATATATTTTATATATATTATATATAATATGTACAGTTTAGCTATAAAACTTTGATGTGTAAAGAAGCTGTCTTCAATGAAAAATTGAACATTCAGAGGAAATTCCTGAGTTAGGGTTTTGTGACATGGGCCACTGAGAAAAAAGCTGCGGTTGGGTCCTCAGAGGTGTTATGTCCATCCCTGTTAAGATTGAAATCAACATACAAAAACAGACAGTGTTGCCACTGCTTCGTTCCCTGCCTGAGCAAGGGATAGCACCATTGTGAAGAGAACTCCTGCTTGTAGAGAGGAGGGAATACTTAAAAACAGTATTGCTGCTAAGACCACTGTAGTGTGCACCAAATACGTTCTTCTAGACAACAAATGAACCCTGCCACTGGCTGACTGAAGAACACCTGACTAGGTGTAATGTTAAGGTTACAAGTCACTAGGTGTAATCTTTCCTAGGTTGTTCATCTGTTGTACATTTATCAGTCATCTCCTGACAGAAGTCTACCGTGACCGTTTGGCTGCTCTGCTCTGGTGGAAGCTCTCTCTCGGGGTAAGTACCTGTGTCGGCTCCATCCAACCCCCCGCCGGCCGAACAATTTTCTGAGATGTTGTTAGGCAGCCAGGGTGCTCCCAGTTGCACTGAGCCTTGCTCCGAGCAGCACTGCATGCTTTCCCCGATGCACTGGGAGGTCACCAGGCTCTGCTCCACACCAGCTGGGGTGGGGCTGATGGTGGTGACTGGCTGTAGATCCATGGGTCTCAGAACGGGGCAGTATCGGTGGAGAGCTTGGATCTGTTCCGGGCTCTGCA